CAGCAATAAAATCTTATTTCTTCATAACTTCAGCACGATTTTGAATTTCTATATCTGCCGGCGGAGGCAATACTAAATACTACGAATATTATACATTATATAGGAAACGCAGAATAAAATGTAATATTATATTATTTCATTTCCTTTGAAATATTATAACAGCGTTCATTTCCAATAAAACTATATCCATATAAACATCCTCTATCTAATCGTGTTATTTGACTAAACCGAACTATCTTTGAAACATAAAATTAGAACAACTACGAAGCAAAAAACCATACAAACACAACAGTTCTATTCTTCACATAAATGTCTGAAAACATCTGACTAAATTTTTACCGAGTCTTACCAGTCATAAACTAGAAACGAGACTCGATTTCTTAATCGTTCCCGTAATGAGCACTCCAGTCGGTGAAGAAAGAGTTTTCGCCATGAAAACAGAGGCAGCACTGCTGAAAATAATGACAGGTTGAAGCGAAAAACGACGATGGAATTAAATTGCAAGGAAACAAAACAGAACGGAGAATATAATGAAGCCGCAGATGAGTCGTTGGTGAATTCACAAGTTTTTGAATATGTGGCGGTTCAGCTTTCCTGTTAGTTTAATAATATTTAATTTCGTGATTAATAATTCTCATTACTCATTGTTCAAAAATAGAAAGTATACAAATCAAGTTGTCGAAACTGATATTTCACTAAAATTGGGCAAAATTTAATCGATACTGTCAAATCAAATTGTTCCAGTATATTTGCACAGGCCAAAAAATATTAATAATAAAGTTCCCATATGGCAAAACTGATACGTGAGTATATCTTATCACATTTATATTACCAATATGCGGATTAGCAACATTACGAGTTACATCTGTTTTATAATTTATGAGTCTGATACAGTATCTTATAGCAAGGCGTTAACCAGTTATCTGTCACGACATCTTCGAAAAGTGTATACCTAAAACGTGTTACAAAAAATAAGCTATGACGAGTATACTCGTCAAATATGTATGCGTGGCTGTTATAATATAAAATTAAGTTGCAATGAAATAACTGTTTTATTTTTGAATTTCATTACTAATATTTATTTAGTTACTTAGCTTAAATATATATGGTTTGTATATGAAAGAAAAAAATTCATAAAAAATCAGTTACTTAGAAAAATGATTAGTTAGTTTAATTTGCTGTTGTGAAATGATATTGAGTAATATCATGCAATATCATTAATATATGATGCACTGACAAAGAAAAGAACAACTATTGTACTTTATTCACACTATATACAGTTTTCTCACAATAATTATTTATATTTTTTTATTTGTTCGTTTTATTTCGCCTCGGCCTCTAAATATTCGAAAAACCTTGACATTTACGAATGTATTTTAGTTTTCACCAAAATTGCAATTTAAACAGCAAATCTTCAGTACTTTTTATACAAGGCGAGTATATTCGTCGTAACACAAAATCTTGTCATTTGTTCCTAACGAGTATACTCGTCGTAACACAAAATCTTGCCATTTTTTCATGACGAGTGTACTTTCCACGAAAACAGCTAACTGGTTAACACGTTGAATACCATGGAGGTCACCGATGACCTTCAACCAAATCGAATATCTGTAATTCACTCAATTAAACGATGATTATTTGAAAACATTCCTGCATTATAAAGAATGCTACCTAATTGCGGTGACATTCAGCTAGATGAATGTGCAATCATAATCCAATCCAATCAAATGATTTAATATTATATTTTTTTCCATTTTGTGTATTTTATTCTGTGAAATGGTGCGGCATTCAATATGTTAAAGGACGTTCCACCTTTTATAATTTGCGGAATACAATTTCAAGCATATAATCATCTTTACTCGTCTACAATGTAAAAATTTTACGTGTCACAGAGTCCAAGAACGAGGAAGGGACGAGATAATGTCTATGGTTCTCGGATCCTTACAAATCTCTTCCGTAGTCTTTAATAATAAGTATTCATAGAGAGTTTAACGGTACAATATAAATTGCCGTCTCGTGGCACAGCGCCAGTGGCACTCAGTGAAATTGCGCTGATAAAAGAAATCTCAGTATTATCAAGATGTACTAATATCATTGAACAGGAGGCACTTTCCCCCCGGAATCGCGTACGACGCGCAAGGATTGTGCCGGCATTATTATCTTCGCCCGAATCTCGGCACGACAGCAGATTTTTGGAAAAGGGAGACCACCGCCATCGTTATCGTTACTAAAGAATAAGTGGTAACGGCTGATTTTCCACAGCACCGCAGTTTTTTTCACATTGGACACTATCAACCGGCGAACCACTATCTGCGAATCAACGACTTCCAATGGTTGCTACTGAATTCCGGTTAATTCTCCTTATCTTTCTATTTGCTGACAATAAACATTATAAAAAAAGACTGAATCGAAAATTGAACCTTGTAGGGAATGACGACTGGAAAAAGTGTCTTTACAATTTGTGTAAATTTGTTTTTACCGATGTCACATGAAAGATTCGTATTTTTTGTCAGACTAATATTGGTGAATTATAAATATTACTTAGTTTGTTGATGGATGAATTTCTTTTATTACGAATTGCAGATAATAATTGCAATACATTCGTATTCCTTTTTTGCTATGAAAATAAAAAGGTTGGAGAAACATAAGAATAATATTTCTTTCATCTGAATATGATATACTAGTACGAGAAAGCTTATGGAACATTTTATTGTCGAATTTATTTTATGAAAACTAAAATTAGAGGAACACTGATTTAGTGTATAAATGAATTTATTCACAGAAGAATGTTTTCAACCATTTTTACCTTATTATAGTACTATTTCATAATGCTCAATCCTCAAAATGTACTTTAACGTTAGAACTACCGCACCCAGCAAAATGACAGGATTCGAAGTTATTATTTCGCAATTATTTATATCTTAAAAGTGTTAAATATTCGAAATGAAATTTAAAAATAAACAGTTTCACTTCAATACTGCAATGAATATATGAAGAAATTGAAAAAAGGCTATTGCCACAATTTTTATAAGGATTATATATTAATCCTAATTAAACATTTGATAATGCTAGTGTTAAATGTTACTGGCATCAGTGTATACAAATAAAATAAAATGAAAAAAATATCTTTTCATAAGATATGAAAAAGCGGACATTAGTCAAATAAATGGAACAGAAACTACAACAGCTGTTAGCGTTTATTATAAGTATATATAAAACAAATGACAACTGTACAAATCAGAGAGTCGTGCGACTTCATCTGTAAAATCGTGATGCACCCTTTCGACTATAAAACGTCACAAGAGCGTTCACACATTTAGGTAAACGAATCTGAATTCCTTTCTGCAACCGAAATCAATTTCTATCCTTTTTAATTTCGCAAATGCTCCGAATTCTTCTCCCACGTAATGAAAAGATCTACTAATTTAAGTAGAAAACGATTCTTCTCCTTTCTGAAATAAATCGAACGTAATCCTTATAGTTAATGTTAATTTTAACAAATGAATTATTATCTACGGTTACTTTTGTGATTAATATTTTGAATATTCGTCTTTATATATACATTCCATCTTTAAATCATTTTTATATTCTTTTTTAAATAAATTATTAAGTTCTTATGTGAATTCTTTGAAGACCTACGAAGACCTTCAAAGACATCTATATTTTTAATGTCAGTGAGATTTATTTTGGAATCATCAAGTTTAAGCACAAACTCTATGGCTATCATTAACCCCTTATCCTATAATATCGTATTATATTCGTGATGAGAATTTAAAATTGAATTCAACAAATTTAAAGGTAAATAACATTTAGATTTGTCGAATTCAGTTTAAGTTTTTTATCAAAAGAAGTAAAGAACAATTTTTTAATATAAATTAAATGCACACGTAGACATAAAATAAGTGTCAAATTCTTCTCTTTGTCTAACAAATTATTAGTGGTAAAGTAGTTTTACCAAGTACAGTTACAAAAGGAATCATAGGACAAGAAGTTAAAAGTATAGTGTTACGTTCAAATCTGAATAATGATATTCATATTTGTAAATAATTCTAAAAAAAATATTCTTCGATTAATTGAATATTTGAACATCAATCTATTTAAAAAACAAACAAGTGAATAATGAATTTTTGATAAAAACTAATATAAAAAATATAATAAATAAAGTAAAATATTTATTATTCATCTATTTATGAAATTAAGTATTATAATAGTTCAATAACTTGCAACGCAAAAATAATTGGCTAATCTCATAAAAAATTACATTAAAGAAACAACAGTATTCTTTACAAATTAACATCAAGAATCTATACAAATTTCTATTGAAAGCAAACATTTCTATACATGTTTGTCTTAAAAAAGCAAAACACTGATCATCTTCAAAACCTTCACCCCCTATTTACTTCTACCAAAGTCCCAAAAGTCACTTTATCAAAATACTTATATGAAGAAAGACTTTATTAAACTCCTATGTTCGAATATTCGCTTATTAATCGCTCAAAAAAAAACGAGAGCAGATGAGTTCAAGTATAAAGATTTGGTCAATTAACTAAGTGATTTGGCCACAGCAGCTGTCCGCTGCGTAGCAGTACCCGGAAGAACGAATTCCCGAGGAAGTACCTCTGGCGTTCATTTCACCAGAGGTTCCCCGAATAGAATGTATCACCTTCGGATGCAGAGATTAAAATTTATCGATCGCAGATTTACACGGCAAAAGAGGGGGAGGAACCTGCTTACTTGTTAGCAGAGGCTTTGCTGTGGACAACGGACAACGGTGCCGGTACAATGGCCGGAGCTGACATTTTTCTAAAACACCAACGACCAAAAGACGAAAAAATACTTGTTGCCTGGCGGGATTCGCTCGGGCAATACCAACCATCCTAAGAAAAAACTCATTTCTAAAAATGGAACGTGCCAGAATCACTTAAAACCAAGTAACTTCACGGTCCCTTTGATCAAATTCATAAATTTCTCCATCCAATACATCCCCCGCGTGTACCTACCTAATTCGGATTCCCGTGCTTCAACCTGTTCCCTATTCTTCTCAACAGTTCACCGAATATTTATACACACACTAAACCGTCGCGCATAATTCTACACGAACAACTTCCCTTAACCGCTTCCGATTTAAATCTCTGGCTGTCCACAATTACTTGTGCTCTCCGAAATCGACACGCACTTCTTCAGCTACTGGACACTAGTTAGACTACAACTTAAACGACGTCGCGTGCAGTCATCTTCATGAGAAGATGCGGCTTCCTGTTGAAACTTCACTGATTCCTTGTCGTCGAGCTTACAGTGTCATCGGAAACCCGCACACAAACGTTGTCTTATTGTTTCCAGTGTCTGCAACATATTGTTTTGAAAAGCTTTGCACCCTGTGCTACCGCACCGGTTGCCCGATGACGGATTTATTCGTTTCGCATCGAAAACCACCCCCTCTGTGTTTTCCCTGGCATTAGAGCACTGTTGTTTTACGCAGCTCAAGAGGACACCAAACTGCTCCTGTTTTCTTTTCCCATTTTTCGGGGTACACGCTAAAGAGAATGTCGCGTTTCAACATCACTGAACGGGAGGCATCCCCGAACGCGCGCCAGCGGATACGTTGGAGCCGTGTTTTCGGCACGGCGATCGCGCGCGTACTGAAAATCCCAGTAACCATCCCCCATCGACCCTCTCTCCCTAACCGTCCCCGTTCTAATACAGACGACACTGTTGGACGCATAGACTCGACTGTGTGCAGAAGAGGTAAGTTACGTGTAGAGAATGCATCCAGTGCACATTCGCGCGGCCGAACTTCCACGAAATCGTGGTCTTATCGGACGCATAACCAATCTTCGCGTCTTGCGGCGATGATGTTAACCCCTTTCTTTAAAATACAACCACTTATTGTATGATACGTTGTTTCAATATAATTTATTGAAAAAGAGAAACATTCTAGACATATTTCATGCCAACCTTTGCTCTGAAGTATAATTATTGACAACAGAAGAATAACATTTAATTTCAATTCAAAAGAGTTGAGTAATATTTATCCTTATTAAATTTTGTTTAAAATCTTCATCACGTGGCTGACACATTGTTGTCAGGCAAGGGGTTAACCCCTTCAACGTTCGATATTCGATTCTTGTGGACAAAACGAATGATGTGGATGGTTGACTATTTCAGTCCTGTGAAAATTTCTTTTTTTTAATGGAATTTTTATATTGTTGGGTAGCGGATTTAGTGACTTTTAAACAGAAGTGTTTGTGTAATTAGATAGTATACGAGCAAGTTTTGGTGAAGGTAACATGTTCTAATTCAAAGAATGTAATTGTGACTTACAGACGTCTGTAATTTTTATGAATTAGAGCTAATTTTGGTTAGCGTTATAGTGTTATTTCATTGTTGTGATGGAAATGGAATGTAAAATATATCTCAACGTGTTTATAGTACAATATAATTTTATTAATGTAGGAACGGACTTTATAGTTAGAAATGTATATAGCTTATAAATGATACTAGATTTTGGATCTCATTGAAAATTAACGACGAAAGAACTGAAATGTTCTTTTGAAAATTTCATTATAAAATTGATAAATTTCACAGAAAGAAAGTAAACATTCGAACGACGTTTTTTCGATTAATTTAAATAACATTACAGTGGAAGTAATAACATAAATGTATTTAAAAAAAATGAAACACAATTACACTGTCAGTTTGATTTTTTCTTTTAAAACAGTATAATATCGCCTGTTTTCGTAATTAATCATAATTTTCGACAGATTTTTGTTTCTGGATTTTTTTTGAGAAATTCTCTTAATCCAAATTTGGTGATCTGGAAGATTCCAAAAGAATGGTCATTTTAAATTAAATTGTTTTGAATTTTTTTGTTCTTGAAATGAACTTACTATATTAATCTATTAGTAACTCTGAACTCGTAAAAAATGGTGGATGTTTTACAGATATTCCTATCAATATGTCATAAGGTCAAACATAACACTTCTTTAGAAATAAATAATATTCCAATATTACATGTCGTTGATTATAGATTTATTTGGCAGTATTTTAGATTCCATTTTTTAATTTATTAATATATTTATCACTTTTTAATTGACTGGGTAATACTTTTTTCGCCTTATAGACTGGATGGGAGAAAATTGTACCAAATTTGAGTAACATGTAGATGAAAGGGAAATAACAGAAAGCCTTTTTATGTTTTAATGAAGATAAAAAGTACTAGAAGCTTCAAAAACATTCACTTTAGAGCAGTGTCGGCAAAGACAATTGTTACCGGTAGGTACTTCTAGATTTCAATTGATAAACTGTCGTCCCGATTGAGACGCCTTTGCGTGGATGAGGAGTCCAAAGGGTTTTAATATCTTTCAATACCTTTTATTTCCACTCCTCAATATATTTTTATTTTTATTTTTAATGATAGTACGATGTCGAAAGATCCGATTTTTATCAAGAATTAAATTCATAACAAATGTAATTTGATTTATTTCTATTGTCATCATTATTCAAATAAGTTTGCACGTATGTTACAAACTCAATTATTGGATTGATGCAAACATTTTTACGTTTTTTGGAACAAATAAACATATCATTTTTCTTTTCAAAATCACGGTTTTACAATAATGGAATAAATAATCTTATAGAAAGATCGAAGTGGGTGATAACAACTAACGGAAATTACACAACAGATGAAATCAATAAAAATATTTGAAAACCCGGAAAATATGGAATAATATAACATAGATTCTTATTAGAAATAATAATAACATAGATTCTTTTAAACTTGAAATTAAAATTCAATTTTAGTGCTATAAAGAATTATTGATTAATATTCCTACCTTATAATATTGTAGTTTTTAAAAGTTCCTAGTCATATTTTAATCTTATAATGAACAAACTTTCAAATGCCAATTCTATTTGAAATAAAATAGCATTGAATGAATTATTTAAATTGTAATACAAAATTTGTTGCCATTTTCAAAACATTTAAATTTACTTTTAAATTAATACAATGTGTATAAAGTATGTTCCTCGTTCCTATGATATTTACTTATATGTTTTATGCATTTATTGAAATGTAGAACATACGAACTTAAATGTTCAGCTCATTGTCAGGTAAAAATACTCACTAAGCGTGTCACGTTATAGATTTATAATATGCCAATATCTATCAAAAACAAAACGAAAGTCGAGAATCGTTTACATGATTCCTCTATTGGTAAATCAAGTTATACAACTTTTATTTTTCATATAACTGCAAACCGAGGGTGACAGTTTCTTAAAGTTTCGACGTGTCTGTATCATAAATTGATCGTACCGAGAAATTCAACGAAAATTGTTCATAAAACCAGAAGATTCGAACCATCAAATGGCGTTACAATCGACTATTAAGCAAATAACAAAATTAGTATATATATTAATAATAATGAAAGTAATCATTACCTACTATAGTAACTAATAATTAAGGAAAACAAATTCGTTTCTTTAATTAATGTTTAATTCTTTTTAAGTGACATATTCATATCAATTATTAAATTTTGTTTATTTAAATGCGACATGTATAAAAATTTACAAATTCAACTCATGATATAAAATATTTAGTTTATATGTTAGATACATATACAATTATAGATATTCAAAGACAAAAACGTGAATTTCATTCAACTGAACAAAAAACTGTCAAACTGCGATGTTATTTCAATCACGCACGGACGAATTATTTAATTATTCTTAAAATGAAAATATTAAAATGCATGTGCACTTGCATACGCACGAGAATTTCATGCTGAACGCACACGCAAAAGAAACGAATTCAATTTTAACGGGTTGACAATAGTATATTATGTCATACATACTAAGTATCAGCGTACGTACACGTTTCACAGATATTTCAATTCGGTATGCCGGTTATTGTGAAGCGCACTAGAAGATTTAATTTTCATGAAATTTCATATGTCTCGGAACCATCGAAAGACGAACGAAAGTTTTCTGAATGCTTTCGACTGCCTGCAAAACTTTCAAACGACTTACATTTCGTGAAATGTAAGCCGAACTTCTCAGAAGCTTTAAGAGAATCCCTTTCCCTTTGCTTTCTGAATTACTACGGTTATAATCGAAATGACGTGTTACAGAATCAAATTTCACGGAAATTAATCGATCAACCTTATTTTGATATAAATTTCCAGCAGAAATTGTAATTTAACAAAATTTTATTTGAACACGTTGCATTAATTTTTTTTCGTGAATTCTTTAATCATTCTGGTTGAATCAATTTTAATCAACAACTCTACACAATGGTTCCCTATCCTTTTCATCAGCTATGTTTTCTTACTGTTTTAAGTGAGATGCATTGCCTATATGATAATTCCAACTCTTTCATTTCAATCAATTATTTTGTAATTTGTTTACCGTCATTCATCGTGATATTATACTTTCATAATTATGTAAGAATTATTAAAATGAATGGTTTCAGATTAGTCAATGAACGATGTTTAATTTGTGACATGATATTTCAAAATTTGTCTGCACTAATCTACTAGCATTCCAGAAATATAATTTATGTCTATTTTATGGTTCCTCAGATTTTCTTTTCGATGCCCAGCGTTTTTTAATATCTAAAGTGATGTAACGTCTAATATGTTAAATTATAAAAACATAACGTGGAATTTTAAATGCAATTAAATTCTTTCGAAGTAATGAAAAATCATCAAGACGGATTTAAACTTTAGGAATCACACGTTCATAATGAAAGTCAAAGGACAAACCCGAAAACATATACATTTCAATTTAAAATAAAAATAATGAATTAGTATATTTTAATAGTCGCATTGGCAAGAGTGACAATACTTTAAGGATCATTAAAGAGGATATTTACATATATCTACTATTTATAGCTACTTAGATTTTTATAATGTCCAATACACTTATTTTGAAAAGCTCTAAGTTTTAATATATTATGCCATATCTTTAGTTTTAAGAAAATCATTAATAGAATAATTTAAAGAATAATTAACAGAGTCAAATATTATGGACAATCCATATTTCGCCATTTCTGGTCACCTTCACTCCAATTCCGGCAGATCTACTTTTATATTTTTTGCCACTATATTTCGCAGTTTTCGCAAAACTGATGTCCGCCACATAACCAAATACTTTTGTACAAAATTAACTGGATACTTTGAAAATACATTACTAGAAAATTATAAAAACTAATTAAAAGATGTAACAAATCTTCTTAACACTAAAGCTATCGAGCAATTACAATGACTTATTTTCGATATTTTATAAAAATTAGAACAATACGTTTTTGAAGATTCGAGTATCTTAGTCTTGTATCTGTATAAATACATCAATTTAATTATAAATCTTTCGCAAAGGTGCCTTCACAATTTAAGTACTTGCAAAATAAAAATTCCGAAGTGGGTCAATTGGATCCGCTCAAGAATTTTAGTGTTAAATTAAATTAGCAAATTTTTCTTGTCGTTATTAATGATAGATGATACTTGAAACACTTAATTAGAAATAAACACTCTTAAGTAGGTAACTTTATTCTTACGCCCATGTAAGCAGAAAACTTGTATTTTCTTAGAATTTCTTTAACTTGTATCTGAATTGGTATTAGTTTGAATATTCTACTCATCTCGCGAGCAGAAAAAAGTGTGTTATCTTTAAAGTCTCGAGAACGCTTTTCAGTCATCACACGAACTTTTATTTACACATCTCCGTGTAAAAACACACATATGGATACGTAGGTATTTTCTTTACTACGTAGCGCTGAATGCTGTTGTGATATTTAAATAAAAAGGTGCCATATACTTGAAAGCCTTCTTAAAGCATTTTCTAAAAATAGGGTCACATCGAGTTAGCGCTTCTTTACTTTTTTATGCAACTTCAAGCTTTTTATCGAGCCTGTGAAATGATAAAGTAACGATAATTTATTGTTTCATTAAAATTATTAACAAATAAAACCGGTGATACATTTCACTTTGAGTTTTGTGATTAGTTATCTTAAATTGGATTATAAACTTTGATTAAGCAAGGATTTAATTTCTATCTAAACTTTTCGAAGAACCTAACAATAAACATTTAAGTGTTTTGTACAACTGCTGAACTTTCACACTTTCATTAACAATATAATTTCCTCTCCTATATACTTCATTTATTATTTACAAAAGTAGAAAGTAAAAATATTGTATTGAACACTAATTTTGGATAAAAATTGGATTACGATCAAAATTTCTCGTATTGAAGCTAAGAAATATGGATGAATAATGAAAAACTCGACATTTCAAAGAATACTATTAAAAATTTGACTACTAAAATTATAATCACATAGAAAAAAAGTAACATCTCTAGGAGACATCGTCAAAATAATTTAATTTTATAAATAATTTTACAAAGTCTATAGAAAACATCGATTAAGAGTAATATAAACATTAGAACTGAAATATATTCACAAGTACTCAACCCTTTTCTATACCAACAAAATGAAATTGTTGATGTAATTTTCAATATTATTTATTATAGTTTCCTTATAGCCCTTGTAAAAATATAAATTGGCAGGCTAGAATTTAAATCTTTCTCTTTGCAGGGGGGAGTTTATTGTAATTTACAATCGCCCACTGACTATAATTAAAAATCCAGTGCATATTGCAATAATTACATTTGTGCTGACGAAAGCAGATAGTTTAGCCTAAATTATGGTATTTCTTATCGTATACCATGCAACTTTATGAATGGACAATATCATTATCGTTATCAACGTTTCAGCAAAATCGTCGGATAACTTGACATTTTATATTTCCAATTATCAATTCGTACCTTTGAGTGCGTATAGAAGCACAATATGAAAAATAAAAGATCATTCTTTTACTTTGGAAAGGTAGGATTTCTACATAAAGGGTTCAAAGAAATGGACGACATATTTCCATGGCTCTGGTACTCGTTATTTCCTACTTTAAAAGAGCGGTTCTATATGGTATCAATGCTTATACAAAAAATGTCATTGTCAAAGTTTTTAGGAGGATAATCCATATTTTTTTGTCAGAATTTCACATGAAATTCCATTTTTGATATTTAACTTAAGGAAAATATATCACTTAATGATATTAAAAGCAAGATTAAAATTGAACTTGATACTTGTATTTATATGATAATACTCTAATGAATAAACTATTAAAGAGAATGACAAGTAACTTATAATTAAAAATATTTTTACTGTTATATTGAGACTCAAAAGAACACATTAATGAAATATATTATACGATTTAATTTATTTAAAGTATTATACTAATTAGAGATATTTAAAGTGTATGTTCTTCAAATAAAATTTTCGTATTCATATAATTAAAGTAAGGTCATGGAAATTATTAATATAGGAACTAGAAGAAAGGAAGTTCGGTATTCATTACACATTAGATATTAAATACTACACAAAAATATTTAAGTAACATGTATTAGTATCTTTGTAAAATTATTATTTTTATAAAATAAAAGTATTCTTATAATCTGTTAAATATATGAATATGCAGATATCTCATTGATAGCATTAAAATATCACCATAGTCATTTCGGCAATGTATTGCAATAAATAATTATTATTACAGAAACAAGTATTAACAGACTATTGACCAATACGACAAAATATTTAATAATCTTTGTGATATTATTACGCACTTATCGTTAATAAGTTTTGCACATAATAAGAGGAATATAAAAATGAATCCACAAAATAAAAAATATGTAACTACATATAATAAATTTCGACCAATTAGTAAAACTAAATTGTTAATACGAATATAGATTCTTATAAGCATTTACAAAGAAAGTGATTCCTCTATTAAGGAATTTTGTATTAAGATCTAAATGAAATAAAATTTCATTTTACTTTTGGATAATCATGCGATTATAAATAAAAACCACTAACACACTGATATTACCTTCACAATACCTCTTTTAATGACATGAGAAAATGATATCGTAATCACATAATTGTATAATTCTTCGCTCTACTTTTATCTTTACGTTACATATTGTCACTTCTTTAAAAGAAGTTCATTTCTTTTAAAAAAAGTTATAATACAACATTCATAGTATAAAAATAATTAAAGTAAAGTATTTCTTTAAAACTATGTACATATTTTATACAAAGATAATATATTTATAAAAATTATTTTGAGAATACTAACACCTTGACAACGGACAACTCGATATTGCATCAAAACGAATACCTTTCTCAGTTACAATTAATGAATATCAATATAAAGTATAAAATGAATAATTTATCAGAATAATAAGATGCTCAGTAAATTGCAAATCATTTCAGACATTTCTAATGAAGAAGAATCACACGATTAATGTAATCGATATACTACATATATACCAAAATATGTTTTCAATATAATAGGTCCGTCGATAAAATATTAAATTTTACTTCGATGCTTGTATAATAAAAGTATGTACAATATTGCTTAAAGAATCATTTGCCGTGTTCTAAAATAGTCGCAAATAATTGTTGTAATCTAAAGCATTTTTAATTAAATCACATTTTACTGACATTTTATTTTGCTATTGTTTATCATTAGGCAAAAATAAGAAAAAAATAAAATACCACAAAATCGTGCAACATAAAATACTAGTGAGATATTACTAAAAAAGTACTTTATAGTAACATTAAACTACATATTGATAACATAATCAATAATGTAATACTTCTTCACCCAATAAAAGTTTTGCATTGTACAGACTGTCTGCACAAAATTCTTATGAATGAGTTATAAAATTTTTTCTGATGAACGTAACAATAAACATTATTTAAATAGAAGTAACATGACACTGAAAAATACTGTTACAAATGTAGTGTGAATTTTTTTGAATAATTTCATATCTGAAATCATTTCATAACAATTTCTCTTTTACTTGTACATTATATCCTACGCAGCAGTTTGTGTATTGTCTAAATTTGTGTCATTCATAAGACTATCAACTCCAAAACTAAATCTGTCATTTATTTCTGTTACAGTTTCTCGAATTTTATCTACATTATTACATGTTAATAATCTTTGATTAAGTGGCACATAAGATTCACTTATACCAGCAAATTCGTCATCAGACTCATCACAAATTACAATACTCTTATGACATTCTTTATGTTCTGTTTTGACATTAGCGACTGTATGAGATTGATTATAGTCTTTGATATTATTCGTATTAAGTGGCACGTAAGATTCACTAATACCAGCAAATTCATCATCAGATTCATCACAAGTTACAATACTTTTATAACATTCCTTAGGTTCTGTCTCGATATTAGCGACTGTATTAAATTGATTATAGTCTTCAGTACTGTTCGTATTGAAATTTATTTCATTCGTAGGTACACTATTAAACTGAAAAACTCTTTTTTCACTACATATAGTATCAATTACTTCTGTCATATTTAGGTCATAGTCATCGTTATCACTAACAAAATCATCTGGTGAAAGTTCATTAAACATTGTATCTAATGTAGTATTCAGTTTTGAATTTACTTTCTCTAATTGTAACACCTTATCAAACTGAGGACCACGTTTTATTTTATTATTAATACCTTGGGTCTCTCGTTGCCTTTCCCCCTTTTTACATCGTTTTGGTGTAATGCTCATTTCTTCAAAAGATTGTTCCAATAACAATGGGGGTTTTTTTGAAATAAATTCATGGATCTTCCTATTATTGCCAATATTTACTGGATCTTTATTACATTTTCTTGGTCGTCTTTTACGTTTTTCTACATTCTCCTCATTTATAACATTTTCTGTCTTCTTTTTAGTAGGTCGCTTTTTTGTTTTCAAGCTTCTTGCATTTTCAAACATTTCCACTAATTCTGGATAACATTTTACTACTAGAACTTGTGGTTCAATACTAGTTAACTCAAATAAAGTATCAATATTACTATCATTATGTTCTTTGTCCAATGACATACACTCCTTTAATTTTTCTATGATATCATGTTCATTTTGCCAAATTATTTCATAACTTGCAATTGACCTTATATTACGAATCTTTTTTATTGCCTCAGGTACAAATAAATCGGGTACTGATAAACGATTTTCAAGAGAAATGTTTGGTAAATGTAAAAGTTGCCATCGTGTTACTAGTGGAAAAATTTTTTCAAATGCATACTGTGGCTCCCAAGATAAATGTCGTTCCATGAAATCCTAATTATGAAAAAATTTATAAGTTTACAAAGTATACTTAAAATTCAATGTTTTATAGAAAGACTTACTATCAGTTTATTCATTTCTGGTTGTTTCCATTGAAGATCTACTTTTTTAGGTACTGGATCTTTCCTAATCAAGAACTCGTCTATCAATTCCTGATTAGGAAAATCTTCTAACAGAAGGGCTTTCTTCCGTAGAGAAATTTCATTTAATATCAATGTTCTTTTCTCTCTAAAAGAATATGTTTGAAGAAATTTTATATTCATTTTATATATCTTATGCAATATAAATAAAAGCTTACCTGTAAGAATCATTGCACTTTACAATAGTACCGCAATCTACACAACCTAACTTTGCATGTTTCTGTACTTTACCACTGTGACCACAAGATGTACATAGATTTGAATTTTGTAACTCAACATCTTTTTGATCTAAACTATTATCTGTTCTCCAACTTTTTATTCTAAAAGAAATAATCCACACATTTGTAAAATATATATTTATAAAAATATATTATATATTTCTTATATTTTACATACCTTTCAAGGATATCTTCATCCTCTACAATCTTAAACAACTTTAAAGCAGCTTCTTTACCGACTCCACTTAAACCATCACTATAATCGCATCCACATAATAAAGCTAATGCTATCATTTTATTTCTCCCCAAATTTAATAATCTCTCTATTTTTTCTAAGCTATATTCATCCACAGCACCGCCAGAACCACCTCGATTTCCTTGAGCACTTGTACAAAAGTTTCTATATACTACCTTTGCTCCATACAAAAAGCAGTCGCTGTCTTGACTTATACATCCGTCAACAATCTATAAACATATTTACAAAATATGCAAAATTTTTCATCAAATTTGAAAACCGATCATTTAACCAATTGTGGTACGTTTAGTGTTAATCAATATATAAAAATATATATATATATATATATATATATATATATATATATACCCCATCTTCATTTAGGTAAGCACACATTGCTTCAGCTTCTCCATGTCCTTGCATGCAAGCTAAACCCATATACACAAGCATTTCTTTACACTCTTTAAGAATTCTGTTAAACTGCGATCTTCCTCCTTTTCGTACAGTCTTCCTTTCCCTGAATCCACTACGAATATCATTCCTTTTTGCAATGGTACTGTGTTTCAAAGTGGGTGCTTTCCCTTCCAAGACAAAAATAGGTGATATTCCTTGTAAAAGAAGGAAAGCTGTTCGAAAATATAAATTCCTATAATAAACAGTATAAAATACAATTTTATCTAATTTAAAATCCAAATGAATCGTCTTAAAAATGTGACATAAACGAACCTGAGATACATTTTCGGTTGTATCATATTATCTGTGACTGTTTGACTGTCTACAACCCAACAACTCAGATCAATTGCAACTGTTTTACCTTGAAGTTCAAACAGTGGCCTTCTCTCGCATAAAGGCGACAGAATATTCCAAAGATCTTTCACTCCCATTTTAAACACTTTGAATCAAATTCTACAACCAACTTCTGTCATAACCGCCATCTAGAGAACGCTTCTGTTAGGACTTCGACATTGTACCATATAGAAGTTCCATACTTTTTGTAAAACATACTCTTACTAAACATCTTTATTCGACAGGAATACAAAACATCCAGATATGTGTTCTACACACATTTTCTTATTTCTTATACAGCTCCACCAGATGTTATAACCAACAAATTAAATCGTAGAAGAAATTTATAAATTCCCTACTTCTCTTCTTATTATCACTTTTACTTATTATACAATACCAACTTATAGTGTTAATAAAACAAATTAATAAATATATGTATTAATAAATGAAATTAAAGCGTATTTCACAACGCGTCTATTCGAAGTAAATTACTTTATTGAAATAAAAGTGGATGCAAGAAAATATTAATAAACATAATAGAACACTCACTATTTTTATTTCAAAAACAAAGCTCATTATTTGACAAAATCGACTTAGATTGATTTAATTTGCGTTTGTTCTTCTTTACTAGAGTTTATTATTTCCCAAATTTAAGTAACATGTATCCAAGTATGTAACAAAATTGGTAATTATTACGTCGTTTTACCGAACGAAATATTAATTCTAACTTTATAATATTCTAATGCTAGAAAAGACAACGATATTACGCATTATTTCTATCTTATCTGCAGTAGTATATAGGGCACACAACTGAATATCACTTCTCTGTGGTGATGAAAAATACTTTTTTCTATATTATTTGCTTCATATTCTTGTAAAGGTTGTAAAACAGAATTTAATTACTTTAAAGTCATATTGCATCAATTATACAATTTGAAGAAATTTGCTTTTGTGTTAGTGTTAAAGTCAGTAATCCACGATAACGACAGGATATGTTATCCATTTTTCGAAATTACACAATCTCTATACGAACATGGAACAAACAGTATACGGTTCCATTAAAAAAAATAACAGTAACCTTGAAATCTCGGGAAAATGGCCTTAGAAAAAATAGTTGTTTGTCAGCGTCAAATTTGTCCCCTTGAGTAATGTAATTTCATCCTCAAAAGTTTTTCTCTAATATTAAAAATAACGATAATTTGTAGATGTTGCCATTTACGTAAGACATTCTTCATAATCGACTTTCATTCTTATCTCTAATTTCCTGTGTTGGCTAGAATAACATGCGTTGCCCCTAGTCACCTAATAACCTGATAAATGCGTTGACAATGAAACTACTTTCATTGGACATTACATTAGCAATAATAGGATAATTCTGGGTGAGGTGACCTGATCTCATTTAAATTATCAAATATCGGTATTTTTAATTGCCTGTAGTGGTATATCGAATCTTGCGCAGAAGCCTATTTAACTAATTTTCTTACGTGTATTTACTTTCACAAATATAAATTACCTTTTGTTAGGTATTCGACTTACCCTATACCGAACAACTAAATCTTCCGATGCCCAAAACGATTAAATGGCCAATTTCATAAACGTTTCTTCGACTTTTGCAATTTTTGGTGCAATTGTCCTGACATTTTTAACTTTTAGATAGGACATTAACTTTGAACATTTTCATTTTGTTAAATTATTTTATAATGTTCAATAGATAAAATATTCGAAACCTGTTTGTTGCTTCCGACACGAATAGATCAGACATTAATAAACGATTGTTAAATAAAGTATAATATATTTAATAATGTAAAAGTCTCTGTCTCTCACTAACAGAAATATTTCTTCAAATACATTCTGTACTTTCCAATGCAACCTAATAATTAATTAACTGTAAAGGAACTCACAAGTTTACATCACGTAAGTACCATCTAGTAAATAATATTTTACGTAAAAAACAGTTTATCTATCGATTACTCATTTTCTTTTCGTCTCATCTTAATCAGAAACTCATGTATCAATTCTAAATTGAAAAAGTCTTTATGAAAGAAAGCTTACTTCCGTAAACATTATACGAAAGAAATTTTTGTCTTTGATTTACTTTTATCTGATTACGTCAATTTGTTCATCATTGCGACCATATCTTGCGTTTTTGAAAGAATTTTCGACTATTTCAAATTGTTTCTATGTCCGTCATACTTCACTGTCATAACATTTTCATTATTAAATGAAACGATATCATGAATATATTTATACCTCAGTTTCTTAGTAAATAGTTCGACACCTTCATGGAAATGGGTATCTAAGTAATCTAATCTACCGTTACGAGACAAGTTACATTGCACAGTAATTTTCTTACATTTTTCTTAAATAATCTTTATTACAACATTTTTCTGAGATTGATATTAGATCGCGTGAGATGTGATAAAATTATCGATTGGCACTGATTTATACTGGAAAATATCTGGGTCTCGTGTATAAAAACGATTGCTGGATCGATTCGCAATATCAGTTGTTGCAGTTGCATTTCAGACGAACTGACGTAACAAACAATACACTATGAAGGGTAAGTTTCTCCATGCAATAATTATTTAATTACAGTTTTGTTTCCATCCCCTCTTTCCTGAGAGGTCCATAATACAAATATCCTTGTCCAATAAACGTTTTCTCGAATGTAGAATTAACAGTATCCCTCTTAAATATTCGAACAATTAAAATTTTATTTTTTTACCTACGATTGATAATAGAAATTTCCAATATTAGCTTATGTTACCTTTTACAATGATATAATTACTTTTATCCTGTATTAGCATTAAGAAAATTGATTTACCTCGTTAAAATAGCTCAGAATAGAGAATGGTCATATTGATGAGCATCATTTAAATGTAAATTAGTTTAATGTTTTAAGTTTTCGACGTTTAACGCATTAACTGTTATGGTGGTTACCGATAACTGCAGCTTCCGAATTCCTTAAAAAAAATTACAATAAGAAGATTGGTGTTGAATAAAAATATTTAATAATGTAAATAATTAAATAATAATATAACGTAAAAACTGCGATTCCAAATTACTAATAATTAATTCTAACACCATTTCCTTTCGCTAGAAAAGAATAAGTAGTATTATACAAAACGCTCAAAATTCTCGTGGCAATCAAAATGTTAGTCGTTCGAATGCTTATGACGGCATGTATATAATTGTTTCTCCAACGTATATATTTTTATCAAATTACTAATTATTATATGTCCACGTCTATACATTCATTATACAATGTACAAACAAATACAAAGTTATTTCGGCAAACCTTAAAGATACATAAATACAGAGATATATAAGAATTTTCAATTAAATAGAAGAATAAGATTTTTCTATTCGTATGAAAACGTATATAATCAAAAAATTAGCATGTTTACATGATACTAAATAACACTGTTTTTATATTTCCAGGAATAAATGTGGTCCTTCTCGCCGTATTTGCCATAGCGGCCATAATTCACGTTTCTGAAGCCGTGTGGTGTCCACCAATCAATGAAGCATTAGTCACTTTACTTCCGAACCCGGCTAATTGTAAAACCTTTTATTCATGCAACGGTGGCGTAGCTACTTTATTAGAATGTCCTGTTGGACTTTATTTTAACCCCGAATTAAAAGTATGCGATTGGACAATACGTGACGAACGCTATAATTGTGAGGTGCTCCATCCCACTTCTACCCCAAGCTCTGTCAACCCCTCTACCGCAAAGAGTGTGCAATAAATAATTGTAATTGTAATATAAATATATACGTTGCTCTTAAAAACTTTACGGCACATGAAATAATATTTATATAATAATTACGAATAGTGTAGAGACGTCGAAATTTGTTAGTAGCAACATACATTTAGATATGCAAAATATGTAAGAAAATAAATAAGTCACAGCAAGAATGAATGTTGTTCTCATTTAATCTTTTTCGTTAAATCTAATTGAATTAACACAACCGCAATCGCTTTTAGTTGTGTTTTTATGTGAATTAAGCATTTTTTAATAACCAAATGTGGAGCAAACATTTAATCAAACTTTTTAAGATTCGACTAATAGAACTTTTTTATATAAAATTTTTAACTTTATGAACAATAGACTTCTACTCTTTTACAATTTGTTTAAAATAATGATAAATTAAACATCTTGTTTAAGAACCTTTACATTTATTCGCTAACGTACCTTTGTTGTAAAAGAGTCGAAATAAACTAATGAGACAATATGAAATTGTATATTCCTTATTCATTCCTTTTCTTTAATATTAATTTTTAATAACAATAATTTTATTTTTAAAATAATATTAAAACTAATATTTATTAAAGTAAGAATTTTAAAACTGATATTTCTGTACGCAATAAGGGGAAACATTTACTTTAACGAACGATTAAAAATAGTAATTAAAAGCAGTTTACCACATATTATTAAAATGAAAATATAAATGAATTTGCTTTTTAATTTCAAAAATACAAAGAGTCCCTGAACGTAAATAGTTATCAGGATGAATCTGTGGTTCATAGGTTTTCATAGTTAGCAGTATAAAACATGTGTAGAGTAACATACAATGAAATCCAAGCGCCACTTCTAGTGATCTTCCTTCATAGTGGTTTTAAACTTACATTCGTCCATACATTCCTATATTCGTAGATTTCGCGCTAGGAAAAAATAACGGAACATTTAACACATTATCATATCTCAATAAATGTTATAAATACCAGCTTCCTTCATCTTAAAGTGATAGAGTTCTTACGATATCAGACAAAATAATAATTATTTAATTACATACCCAATATTGCATTAATTTCATTGGCTGAGTTTGAACACAATTAAAGTTGTAATAAAAAATTATATGTTATTTAAAAACGTTACAGCCAATAATTTTTAATGAACATTACCAATTTCAGGAAATTCCTAATTCCTAATACCTATAACATTTTTTATTAAAATATGATGGTTAATATTATGTAATATAAAATGTGTTGCGTTACGCCGTTCGCGGTTAGGGAAAATTTAGAGAACTTTACGTGGGTAAGGTGCCCGTGGAGTACTAAGGTACTCTGCTCGTGGCGCGTGAAATAAACCTTATACTTTTGGTTGTGGAAATTTTGACTTCTGTTTTATTTCTGACTTTATAAGTAGTTAAACGTTCGAGTTTTGAAATTGTTCTGCTTTTTCGTTGTAAATCTTGTTCGTTGTCGGCTCGCATCCCCTCTTCCTTGGTCCTGTTTTCTCCTTCCGAGTCTCCTTGGCCCAATGGCAGAGGAGATCTGGTTAATGCGCGGACGATTCCATGTGCATATGCTGAGAGAAAGCGCGGGACCCAGAGAAACACATAATGTTCTCGTAAAAGCGAACGCGTCGACAGCTAACAATGTATCGAATTCGCCGAAGTGAGGACCGGATGTAACACGTGTCAACTTTTTGAAGAGAATTTATGGCCCCTTACAATGTATCGAATTTGCCGAAGTGAGAACCAAAGATGATTCTAGCTGAAAATAATAATTCTCTGGTTTCCAACTTTCTCTCAACTCGGCCGTCCGCGTTGAGTGTTTTACGATAATATACTGTGTCTATAATGTTCTCGCTAAACCGTTCGTAGTTCCCTCTCAATTTATGAGCTTCGACCACTGAACGCAGCTGTAGCTATCCTTGCCCGGCGTTACCGTCGTACTGTGCCTATCCAATTCACGCGATAGCATTACAAATGTATAAGAATTGAATTCTATTCTTGGCCCCCTAGTGGTAATAGTTGGAAATGCTGTCACAATCTTCTCATTTCAATAGTAGTTTTCTGTCCAATCTCTTTTATAGTTTTTGATTAGAAGCGTGGTCAGCCTTTTTGACTGCAATATTGTGGTTAGAATTGTTACCGTTAAAGTTTCTTTAAAAGCCAAAATGGCAAAATTCGATTTAACATCACGTATAGGTCAATATTTGGATCGACATTTAGTATTTCCTTTGCTGGAATTTTTATCTGCAAAACAGGTATAATAAAGTAAAAATGTTTTTAGCCATATGCAGTTTGGTTACAATTACACTTTTCAGATTTACGATGAGGACGAGTTGCTTCAAGCAAAGCTCGATATTCTCAGTAAGACGAACATGATTGATTACGCTATTGATATCAGACAACAGCTTTACCCCAATTTGGAAGTGCCAGAGGTATAAATATGTGTAGTAAATGAGTCTAAGAAGTAAATTCCATTGTTGATTCATTAAGATGTGCTCCCTAGTTTTAGAAAATTCATAAATGTTTATAAGTCACTTCTACGGCTTCCTTCTAAACATTTGCAAATGACATAAATATAAGGATTTCCATTGTAGGAATTAAAAGCACGTCGACAGGAGGTACTCCAAGAACTTGGTATTTTACAAAATAATGTATCAGTTGTTGTGTCTCTTATGAATAACGAAGAAGTCATGAAGAAGATGGAAAACATGCGAGATTCTAAAGCATTAAATAATTATCTGACTCAAGAATCTGATGTAAGTCAATAATAAATAACTTCTGATGAAACAAGCTCTAAAAAAACACTTAGTGACAATCTGTCATAAACATTAAAACTAAATTATTAAATATGCGGTACTATGTAATTATTAATACCACTGAATAAGAAAATTTATATTTTTGTATATGATTTTTAAATAATGAAAATATAATAATTTTATTTATTACATGTTGATAGTTCAGGGTCGAAATGATGGATAGTTTTGTGAAATTAGCGAAATATCGCTATGAATGTGGCAACTATTCTGTCTCAACGTCATATTTATATTTTTATATGCTTATAATGCCACCATCAGATAAGGTATGACAATGCTAAATCATAAAGTAATTAAAAAAAATTAATAGTATATTTTTATACAATTTCTTGTTAATTTTCAGAATTATTTAAATGTTCTTTGGGGCAAATTAGCATCAGAAATTTTGGTTCAAAACTGGGAAACTGCATTAGAAGATGTAAACAAACTAAGAGAGTATATTGACAGTAATGTTATAGGGAACTCTCTGCAAATATTGCAACAACGAACATGGTTAATCCACTGGAGTTTGTTTGTATTTTTCAACCATGTGAAAGGCAGAGATTTGATTATAGAAATGTTTCTATATAGACCCCAGTGAGTATATTTTTATTATCATATTAAGTAAATATATCAAACATGTTAAAAAATAAAAATTTTATATATAATTTTTAGTTATCTAAATGCTATTCAAACAACGTGTCCTCATATATTACGATATTTAGCAGCAGCTGTTATTGTCAATCGTTCTAGACGGTCTATATTGAAAGATCTTGTAAAAGTAATACAACAGGTAAAGAAATTTTTAACAGTTTTTAAGTAAATTAGATTTTTTTATGAAAATTTTATTCTACCGCAAATAATATTATTATATATACCGTGAAGACTTATTCTTTTGTTTTGTTAACAGGAATCGTATACATACCGTGATCCAATTACTGAATTTTTGGAGCATTTATATGTCAATTTTGATTTTGATGGAGCAAGGCAAAAATTGCAAGAATGTCAAACAGTTGTATTTAATGACTTTTTCTTAATTGCATTATTAGGTGAATTTGTTGAGAATGCTCGATTAATGATTTTCGAGACATTCTGTCGTATTCATCAATGTATCAGTATTGGGTACAGTAACATATTTTTACGCACAGTGGTATCTCGACTTACGAACTTCATTCATTCCAGTTTGAAATTCTGGTAAATTGTCGAAAAGTTTGTATCTTAAAACTCAGTTTTCTATTATATTATAACTCGGGATTATAAAAGCATTACGGTTCGTTTCTGGAAATTAAGTTCGTATATAAAGGTCAAAATCTATTTTTTTCGTACTCTAGTACGAAAAAACTTTATATGTTGAAAAGTTCGTATGTAGAGCGGTTTTTAAATTGAGGTACTACTGTACATTATAAATGAGAATTATGTTTTCAATATATTTACAACATATATTTATTTTGCAGAATGTTGGCAGAGAAATTAAATATGAAAGCAGATGTAGCTGAATGTTGGATTGTTAATTTAATACGGAATGCAAGATTAGATGCCAAAATAGACAGTAAATTAGGTCACGTTGTAATGGGTGGACAGCCTGCATCACCTTATCAACAGTTAATTGAAAAAGTAGAAACGCTAAGCGTGCGAAGCGAAGCGTTGGGTAACTTAATTGAACGCAAGTTAAAAGCTAAAAATCAGGACCCTGTAAGTATAGTGTGGAACTAAGGAAGGTTAGTATCATTCAAAATCATTTTTCATGCATTACTACTTTCCCCTCTTTTCCGTCTTCTTATTGATTCAAAATAATTCTCTTCATCAAGAAATATGATCTTTTATTAACAACTTTAATTCAATATTGTTCAATCATTTCTCACTCACTTTTTCTTTTTAATCGCTACAAGATTAATTTCTTAACAACATTACTGTATCCTATGCATATGTTACTCTCGTATAATGAAAATAAAAGGAGAATTGTATTATACTAATATTTGTTTATTAGCCTTTTTAAAAATGAACTATTAAATTAAGAATTACACTAACATTGAATGATACACTCGGCCCTCAATTTACGCAGGTTCCTTTTTTACGCAGTAGTTCTTTTGCGTGATCTGGATTTAGTCAAATCAAATAAATTGTACTTTTTTTCCTGAAATGTCATTATTATTTCTTTTGTTTGGCTGTATGAAATAAATATGTATTTGTAAAACCTATATCAGCTTTTCGTTCTAATATTTTATTTTCTTTTATATGGACAGTCTCTATTTACGTGATTTTCTTTCACGTAAGACAAATCTACGTGGAACGGATTTTCGCGTAAATCGAGGGTCAGGTGTATATATACAATTTACAAGGTATTGTCCATTCATCAAGTAATTCTTATATTTCTAAATCAAACACGAAAAGAAAGAATCTAACTTTTTTAAATTCTCTTATTTATATGTATTATACAAAAACTTTCTTTACAGTATCAAAATTCTTGGAATTTGGATTTATGATATCGTGACATAATTCTCAACGATACTATTAAACATAGTATTTGAATTATCTCCAAGTACAAGCAGAATATCAACACTCAAAGCATATGTTCGTAAGGAAGTCCGTGCAAAGATTTATTCGTAAAAATAATATATTTTTATTCATATATATTTTACAAAAAAGAAAATGCTATGAATAAAAATATATTTGCATGAATATTTCATGAATACATATATGCACACATTGCGATACAAAAACTACTTGTAATATGTATTCGTATGTTTCATACTTAGAAATGTGAAAAAAAGAGAATTAAATACTTGTATTAAAAAAAATATATACTTTCCATATCGAACGTTTTGTAATAGATATTGGAAAAACATGTTTAATGCGAAAATTGTAATCGAACAAGCGGAAGAATTTTTGAAAACATAAAACTGTATAAATCCATACCTTCCATGAAAAACTTTATCGTACATTTTATATTAAAAACATGAATTGACATATTCAAAAATAAAGTAATTTTGAAAAGATATTATAAGTAGTCATTAATGATATCATTTATTTCTGTGTAAGAATTGATGGAAAATATAAAATCCTGTGTACAAAAGAAATGTAATTTTAAAATTCAATAACGAATACCTTGATGTACATAAAATGTTCAAGATTTTCTAATATTATTATAAGTCATTATGAAATAGTCGTTTTGTCAAATAAAATGATAAATTCTGTCTATGAATCTTCTGTACCAGAAAACACAAAACTGCAACCAGTGTAAGAATCTTGGTCGATACAATATTTTAACACGTTCCTCCAATACGGATCTTGAGCTAATAGTCTTGGGCATCCTAAAACTATTACTAAAACACGAGCACGTGTAATTGCAACATTGAGTCTTCGAGGACACGCAACAAACCCAAGAGAGTGTTTAATATCATCATTTATGAAATCGTTTGAAGACCTTACAACTGAAATAATGATAACATTACGTTCCTGACCTTGAAATCCTTCAACACTACTTATTTTTGGTAACTCCACATCCAATTGCATAAGTAAATCTCGAATTTCAAGAACCTACATTAAAACAATAAAATAGATCAAATATGAAATAATTTATAAATATTATTTAAATAGAATTCAAATATTTTACCTGTTTTTGGTAAGGAGTTATGATTCCAATATCATTCGGTGAAAGACCACATTTATATAATTTCAACAAGTAAAGATATACCTGTGTGGCTTCTTCCGGGTTATACCAACTAGGACTGTCATTATCTTTACGATTCTCTCCATTTACACCATGAAAAACTATAGTCGGTGGTGAATCTTTCCTTTCCGGTAATTCAGCAGCTAATGTACGTAAAAGTTTTGCTTCTTTGCTTCTTTTGGAGGATATCTACATTATTTAATTAAATTTGTATTGAGTAGTAAAATATAATTTTAAAAAGTATATTCTTACAGATATACATACTTGTGATATTAATTCAGAATCATAGAACATAGAACTTGACAATTCCAATATCTCCGGTAAACTTCGATAATTAATAACTAATTTTGTGACTAGACGAGGATCATAATTAGTTTGAAAACCACTTGGGTCTTTTTGATATGGAAAGTGTTGCAATAATCTTACTAAAAACGATTCGTCTAAACCAAAAGTATTGGCTATTTTACTTTGTACAACTGGACCAAGTTGCAATGGATCCCCCGCAAGTACTACTTGTCCATAATCGGAATGTATGAAATTCAGTGGAATCATAATTTCTGGTTCTGTTGCCTGACCAGCTTCGTCAATTAATACATGTGTAAAATGTCCATGAGGAAAGCCTATATTATGCAATATTCCTAATGCAGTACATGTACCAATAGTAATTCTATGACGTCCAAGTGTGCTCATAGTACAATTTAATCTTGGTCCAAATCCATCGTACTTTGTTCTTTCATGTGTTCTCTCTTCAGCTAATTCTGCAGTAGCACAGTACGGCAACAATTTGTCAGATATAGAATCACTGCCCAAACAATGATGAGCTACAAGTCGTACCTATTAAAAACAAAAAAATAATTCTTAGTTAAATTAATTTAAAAATTTATAACAGAAAACACATTTAAGACGGTTGATATCTTTTATGTTCGTTGAAATGAAATGAAATTATATAAATCTTATAAGTCTAATTCGATAAGAATTATTAAGTTTTTATAATGTTACTGTTATACATTTTTATCCAAAATACCATGTCACCAGGTTTGAGAACACCACTATCTAGAAGTCTTTCTGCTATCAGATTGGCTGAACTATTAGATGGTGTTGCAATTAACAGTCGGCTGTTTGATATGGTTGATAATATCTGTAAAATTGCTTCGCAAAGAGTAATAGTTTTCCCAGTGCCAGGAGGTCCGAAAATTATATAAGGTAATGGTCGTGCATGTCCTCTCAAAATGTTTCTTACAGCTTCCTTCTGATAGTAATTTAAACTTTTATTAAACCAAATTAATTTTCTTTTTCTAACTTGCGAAATATATGGTTCTAATTCAGTATCCTCAGAAAAAATTGGTGTAGAGTTTTCTGCATTCTTTCCTGCTCTCGATTCATTTTTTGCTGTGTTAGTTTCAATAGATTGATTATCTTTTATTGTTATAGCAGAGGTAGTTGTAAGTTCTGAATTTTGTTCTATTGATTTCACATTAAACAATCTTTCTACAACTGACATTCTTTTAGACGACTTTGATGTATTACTAGATTTATTGCTCATGGATGTGTTAGTACTTGTACAAGAAGATTCCGATGATATGGAATCAGTCCGCTGATGAATAATCTGTTTTGGTATTGTCTCATTTAATAATTCAATTTCTTCAAGATTTAATTGAGAATCTTTTTCAATCACATGAGTGGGAAATAAAAAGTTAGAACCCAAACGGCAAGTAGCCATGTTAATAGCATTATGACAACGTTGCACAGCAGATTGTGAACATTTAAACATTACTTGACAGTCCTCACAGTTGTATTCCTGATGAAATTTCTCATTAAATTTCAAAAAAATCTCTGAACTTGTAACTTTGTGAATAAACCCTTCATACTTCCGTTTTCCTACTTTAAATATAATATAATTTAAATATAATATAAAAATAATTTAAATATAATAATAAAATTGTAATAATTATATAATTATATATAATAATTAAATATAATATTTAAATATAATTTTCATTTTATACATTACGATTCACAATTATATTTTTAGAAAAATTTAATTATATTTATAATTATATTTATGCATTAATTATTATTAATGCATACTTATTGTAAATATAATTATAAATAAATAAATAAATTAGATATTTATTTATAAAATTGAAGCACGTAAAAAATAATGAAAATAATTATTGGATTCTATTAAATAAGAAACTAAAAGTTGTAAACATACCTTGAGAATTATCCCATTTAAAAGATACTATAGCTCTGTCACCAACAATTAGAGATGGACGTTTCTCAGCAAGGCCAGGTACTTGCATTACTAGATATTCTCCAGATGGTCTCATAATTGTGGTTTCAATGCTGTATTGTTGCATGTTTATTACTTGAGCAATTTCTTCTAAATATAATAAAGCGTGAAAACGATCTTTGTACGATTGAAAGGTAAGTTTACTTAATAGAATAGGTATAGCATTCCCCATAGCATATGTACATTCTGTTTGGGATTTTCCATCATTTATACATTGCAATATTATGTCCCAGTAATGTTTAGGAACTTTGAACATCACATTGCGTACTTTAATGAACGACGGTGGTTTACATGAACGAACGCCTGGAATATACATTGACTGATTCCAGTCACCCAAATCTGATATATGACATCCATTGGTTTTAATATTGCTGCTCTTAGAATATACTTTATTATGTATATTTTTAGGTTTAACTGTTATATAAAAGATCCTTCCAATTTCAAAATCTTTAAAACTGAAGATATATAATTCTTCACTTGTACCAACAAATTTTGCTTTACATTTAAATGTATAAATTAAAGTATCAGAAGGATTTAGTACTGAAATCGTATCTATTTTAGGCTGTATTAATTCTAATTGCGACTGAGCTTTCTTGATCATAAAACAACCTTTTTGTAATACATGAGAAGTATTGCCCACATTTTGTATCGTAACAGTCACAATCTTTTCTTCTGATATATTTAAATCGATATTTAAGTTATTTGTGATTATTATGCCACATTTATTTTTTGTGAGCGTATTTACATTTTGTTTTGTTAAAGGTGCCTTCCATAACATTGGCAGGGTATGCTTTTTTGAAGCCTAAAAAGACAAAGTACTCTAATAGATTTATTAAAATATTGATTAAATTATTTGAAAAAAATTAATTTAATAATTTTATGTTAAAAATGTTTCTATACTTATATTATGTTCAACTATAATGTACTTATTGCAAGTCACACGATACATGATATTTATTATAACCATGTTTAGATTACTTATTGTTAATGTTACAAAAATTACCCCTAGTAACTTTTCTAAATAGTTGAATATTAATTGAATAAAGTGACTTAAGTAGTGAGTATAATGAATTTTTTAAGCAATTTTATTGGTACAAAAAGTCAAAAGAAGATAATGTTTTCTACTTTGATTATATAAACTTGTTAAAACATTCTCCAAGTAGCATTATAATGTTTTATTTTTATATTCTTCCAAAAATGCAAATCTCTAAAGAAGTAAAAATTTTATTATGATTTGTATTCTTTTCTGTAAATAATAAATTAATTTTTTTAGTTCTCATATTGGTCAAGTTCTTTAAAAAATAATTATTATAAATATTATTAATACTTTGAACACTTTTCAGTTAACACTTACCTGAACCATTGGAACTACAGTTAATGACCTCCAAGTATAAAACCCTTGATCACTTTCAATGCTATCACTAATTACTTTATCACCGACGCAAGGAATATAACCGGAGTCACATATCCTTTTGTTAAATACGATATCCTTTCCAATAGTACCAATTTCTTTGACCGAGTCATAACTAGATATAGTTCCAATATCCAATTTCGACCGTAAAGGTTTTATTCTTCTTATCTGCAAGATTTCTTCTTGTGAATCATAACTTTCACTATTAACTTTTATTTCTGCTTCTATCTGTAACCAATCTCCAATTACAGGAACAAATTCCGACTGCACTTTATTTAAATTGACACAAATATTATTAGGTTCAACAAATAACTCTCGGTTCTTGCATGTCAATACTTTCCCAATCATAGATTTAATTGATATTTGTGTTTCAATAAATTCTGTTTGAGACTTTGTAATTGCATTATCCCATGAATCATCTGTTGCAAATATAATCTCTTTTATTTTATGTTCATTTTCATAACCCTCTTTTAAACTCAAATAATAAACTTTATCGCCCACTTTAAGATTATTTACTGTAGAGATATTTGCTGCATCGCATACATAAAAACTATCAACCATGACATAATCAGTGGTGATAAGAGTAATTTTTCCAGTCTTATAACAACAATCATTTTTATTAAAGAACTCATTTCCCTTTATATCTTTTTCATAAGCATTCTCAATACGAGCTACAACGCTGCTGATTTCATCAGTATCATTTTTACTAGATAACTTATATCCTATGATATATTTTATAAAAGTATATATTAATGACAGCATGTTCAATTTCTATTATTCCTATCCATATACCTACAAATATTATTTTCAATTAATATTCTTATTAATACTTTCAATTCAATAGAAACAATGTTGATAGTCGATACGGTACCGATCAATTGGCTGATATCTCCACTCCGTTGCTTTAATATAATCCAGTTCTTTCTTCAACGACTGAACACGTTTTAAGTGTAACTCTCGAAGTAAACGTTTCTGTTGCTTTTGCTCTTGTAATTCTGATTTCATTTGATTCAAAATTTTTGATGTTTGATTACCATTGGAGGTTAATTCTGAATCTTGAGACTCCGATGTTCTCTGTCCTGGAGAATGGCCCAAAGTTCCGGATGATAAAGCAGAAGAATTCATAATTTCACGAGAAACCTTTTGAAATCAGTTTGTAGAGTGTTTGACAATCATCAGACACATGTGTTTTCTCAAATTGCATTGTTAGTTCATATTACAAAACTTAGTGTAGTATATAAACATGTTTACATAATCAACCAATCGATAACAGGAAATATAGCGGGAAAATTATTTGCGCAGTTTAAATTTTGAAAATATTTTCATATGTCTTATCACAGACGAGGTATACGGTTAATATTTCATATTAACATTTGTCTTTATTGTATATTCATTCCAATATATTATAAACGTAATAAAATATTTATAAATATAAATAAATAAAGATATACATTAATTATATTATCATATACTGCATGTCATAGACACCTACCAAATATATACATAAGAACAAAGTAGATTATTTACATTGGAACAAAAAATAACAAGTTCGCAGTAAACATTTAAACAATACAACTTCCATAGACAGTCCTTTTAAAATTTCATAGTGTTAGACTTTCTCATATTTCGGTACTCAAAAACAAAAAATTCTCTCTATTTCGTTAATATGCTTTTTATCCAAATTTAATATATAAAAATGTCAAAAGCTCTGTCAAATAATGAAAAAAAATGCAAGGCATCAACATCATGTTGGTACTTCACAATCTAGTTTACGTCCGAAACCTTATAGATTTTGTTGCGAAGTAAAGGACCAAGATACAAGGTTAGATACAAAGAATGATGAGGACCAGCTATTTTCTCGATACAATCTAACGGAAGGTGGACCTGATATAAAATTTCGCCTTCAAGAAGTAAATAACGCTTCAGCATCCCCACAACGCGTTAATCAAAAAAGCGTGTATCGATCAGGATTTCGAGGTCGACCGCGGGGTCGACAGAAAGGCGGATATGACGATCTACCTCGAAATGGCCAGCAGAAAGGATATCGAAGTGGTCAACGAATAGAACGGGATCGTAGCGAAAGCGATAAGAATAATAAAGGTTTCCATGAACCAATGATCTGTAGACACTGCAGAGGGCCTCTTAAATGGTACTTGGAAGATGAGATAGCTGTTGCTCGTGAAATAATGATGCAGGACCGACAAGAACAGTATAACACAGAAATGGAACAGAATATTAAAACTGCTAAAAAAAGGGTATGCAACAAAATTCTAGTAATGGGTTTGAAAGTACTCTAAAAATACTTGTAATCAAAGTTGAATCTCATACACTTGTACTTAAATATTTAGATATAACTACTCACGAAATTGAAGTTATTTTATATAAAATATTTATTTTGACACTAAAACTACCAGATGAGTCAGAATGACATATCCCTGAGTTCTCTTTTTTACGGTTATTAAAAAAATAACAAATGATTCTCTGCGGAATTATTAAATAAATTGATTCAGAAATAAGCAAATTGAATTGTAAATCAACAGAAATCTCAATAGATGCATTTTTTGAGTTTTTATAGAAAGATTTCAAAAAGTTTCAATGTTGAAAGATATTGACAGATATATTAAAATGAGGAAGTAGAAATTTGTTTTATTATGTATTCTCAGTATTTGTTCTGGTATTTTAGTTACGTATGTACTGAATATTGTGTGTACATATTATTTTGGCAATTCATTTGTCGATTGTTAAAAGCAAAAGCAAAATTAACCCTTTGTCTCTCTCTTTGACTCTCAGTCACCACTTGATTTGACACAGTAAAACTATAGAATGTAATATTTAATATTAAACTTTGTATAATGCCTCGATAGATGAAACATTGGAATAAAACAGCTTTGTTCCTCAATGTACTGGTTATTTCTCTTCGAATTAGTCTCAAAGAACATCGTCTTCGCCTCGTAAAGAAATGTTAAATATTTCTAGTAAGAAACATCCGAGTGCAAAGGGTTAACAATCCAGAGATCCTTTTTTTAAATTTGTAAAACCAAAAGCATAAGTATTTTTCGACGCACTATGTTATTGCATGTATGCAGTATATTAAAGGGGTCAAATTTGTATTATGTAGAAAAAGAGGAAAAAAAGAAGAAAAAAGGTAGAAAGTTAACAGCAGAAGCCGTATCTTGAACTGAATGAAAATATGTACAAACGGTACGACTGTTAAATAAAATGTATGGAAACAAAAATTTGCAGGATAAAAATAACAATATTTAAATAAAAAACACTTTTTATATTTTAATATTTATATTTATACTTACTGCTGCTATTATTCTCGTTACATATAAAAAAATATATACCCATATTAGAAAATATACTTTATTTTAATAGAAATGCTTACACAATCCACTATTTATTAAAGAACGCAATACTGTGAATATACTACCCAAACATTGTTTGAAACTTCTTTTTAGATATTCTCATAAGTTATGTAATTAAGAACTATAATTAATACATATATAATTAATATATATCGAAGTGAAGTAAACAGAAAAGTAGTTTTCTACAATTGCAGCAGAACAATATATAATCTCATTGTCATGTAAAGAAATATATTTATAATTAATGTTTGGTTTTTTTTAGTGAAATCATATGCTTATTATTGTTGACAAAAGACTCAAATATAAATTTGAAGTTACAAAGATTTGTAGTT